AGTAAAGCTCTGGACTGAGCGACAGGCTTCTCGCTGATAACTTCAGTAGCAAGTGGCACGATTAATCCCCTAGACTTGTAGGTGTAGGACTGATACACCCTTGCGGGGCAGTGGCGCCTTGTTAGAAGTAAGTATTCTTATAACGCTCTATCAATCTGCAACATTCCGACGCAGACAGTTCAGTTTTCTTTGAGAACGCGTCCCCAAGTGGCAGTTTTCGAAGGGCCGGCACCTTTGCTTTTTGGCACCTCTGCCGGAAAGCAAGGCATTTTTGCTATTTTTGCTCGACGGGCGTCATTATGCCCCTTTTGGGCAAAAAATTCGTCCCTAAGGGCACTCCATGCCGGTTTTTTTCGCCGTTTCTTTCTCGTTTTTTCGCGATTTTTTTTTCTGTTTTTCGCGTCTGTCTGTACGTCACGCCCACCGCGATCGCCAGCCCTCAAATGTCTGACTGGTGCTGTTGCCGATATTGGTTACGATTGAAACTGTGAAAAGTAAAAAAGTGAAGCGAAGGATCTTTATGTTGAAGCGGCTTGTTGTGCATGAACAGTGAGCAATGCACTGAATCTGCTGGAGCGTTTATTGGGCCCACGATGCAGCAGGGAAGTCGTCCGAAATCGCCTCCTGAGTCGTGCCGGAACAAAGGCCTTTTTGTAAGTTTTTGACCGTTTTACTTCGCTTTTACACCATTTTCCCCACTAAGCACCCCTGCTACTATTTTAGACCGACTATCAAATCATCGTGTCTTATGCCTTTGAAGGCAGTTGACGCTATAATTTCATGTACACTTTGAAACATAGCAAAGGTGCCCAGTAATGCAAAAATAGTGAAAAAACGGGGCGAAATGGTGGGGAAACCACGAAATGGGGGCTTTATTTCTTCGCTGCACTGCGGCAGTGGACGAGCGAACGGCTGGGGCGGGCGCTGCTTTGGACGAGTCTACCGATTGAACCGTTTACTGCTGGCAAAAAGCCAGCAGTACGTTCTACGTCGCTCTACGTTACACTACATTACACGTAGGCACGGGCGGTCCACAACGGCACGTCCTCGTGCTGTGATGCTATACGTCCAATGGTAGGCGGGCGGGCGAGGTGGGCGTCCGGGTCGGTATGTTGCTGCTCAATAGGGCGCTATAAGGGTACCCTCCTTGGAAAAAGGCGCTACGCAGCGCCTGTTCAGGGTCACGGAATTCTGTCATGCCAGTCGTATTAATGCCACTTGTCTCTAGGGATTTATCGTGCCAAGGAATGATTATTGATCGCCCTGGCCTATTTTCTCACTATTCAGCTTTTCATAGTTGTCTTCTATAAGGTGAAGTCGTTCACTGTTAGACAGTTGCTGAATCAGGACGTAATTATCTAAGGAATGTCAAGGGTAATGTTATTCTTTTCGCCCATTCACTCCAAACGAATGATTTGTTCAGAAGTCTCATCGGCATCGGCGAGACAACAAAAAGTGACAGCCACAAAATCAGTGCCAATCGATTAGTTGAAAGTACGAGGGGGGAAAGTAAACATTTCTGTGGAACCGATAAGGCAATCGTAAAGCGGCAATAACGCGTCGCGTGCACATTTCCAACCACATTCACTACTATGAAAATAACGGTACACAAGTAACGAACTCAAAATAACGATCGATAGCTTAAAATAAAAAAAAATGTTCTGAAATAGACTATATCATTGAGATAAGAACCCAAAAAAGTGGATTTGGTGCGTTCCCTGTCCAACTTCTCCCAAATTTTCCCTGAGCTGTCGAGGGGGTAGGAGGAGCACCACTGATCAGATATCTGAAACGCGCCTGAAATGGAGATCAGGGCACATTATAGTTGCATCATTTCATTCCCCAACATGGGGGAAGGGTCGTTATTTGGTTGCTGGTGGGAGGGGGTCGTAACTGCCTTCTGAGAGAGATTCGCGGCGTTGGGAAAATGTTCCCCCGGTTGTGGACTTTTTGCAGTTTTTCCCGTCTCACATGTGCTATATTCCCCCACCACCTCCCCGTCCCGCCGTTTGACAGCGAAATTTCGGCGAAAAAGTAGAGTAAATTTCGGAAAATTCCGGAAAAACTGGACAAATTGGTAGGAAGTTAGGAGAATCTAAGAAAGTGGTAGGTAGATGGGGAGGTGGAGGGGGTTGTATTCTGTTGTTTCACATGTGCTGTATACGTCCTCGCTCGACAGCTCCATCGTACCATAGGATGGACCTAAGACGGGGGGCGTATCAAGCCACCTCCTAGAGAGGGTATCACGGACTCCACCCCTCCCCCCCCAACCGGTGATATGCCCTGATGGAGATAGAATTGGTCTGAAGTGGGAAAAGACAACTTAGAAATTTTTTTTTGCTGAGGGAAATACTAGCCCTCCCCCTGCAACCTAACTTCCTGGCCCTAGTTTCTCCGCCGCGATCAAATACGACCTTCCTGATGGGTTCCTCAGAACAATAAGGTGAGCTGTTCTGAAAATGGCTGGAAAGGCGCACGCCCTCGGCGAAACTTTGGAGTAAAAGTGGAAAATTTTTAGGAAATGCTGGAAAAAACTGGCTGGAAAAAGTTGGTAAAATCTAAGAAACCATGCAGGGAGAGCGGCAGCACGGTTTCCAAAAAATCTTCCCAGCGGCATGATGTGCGCTGATGACGATACCTTCACAAGGCGCATCCGCAATATCGGTGTTCTTTTTGAAATATTTGAGAAGGATGTCATGAAAAATGCCCTTGGGTGTTTACTGAAGAGGAAGGAAGCATTCGGAAAGTAATGTGAGGAGGGGCCAGAGGCGAAGTTCAGAAGGGACTGAGCAAGATAGAACAACGAGATATTGCAAGCATTGTTACACTCAGTTTCGAGAAAGGGCACAAAAGAAACGAAAAGGGCATGGCTAAGAAAAGATATTCCCAAGTTTTATTGCCTCAATTCGAATGAGTCCTATGTCATCCAAAAAAAATCGAGCCCATAAACTGGAAAAGAACAAACCCCATTGAAGAAGCGACTTTTGCGAGCAACAGTGACTCCATAAATATATCGGCGAACGTAAAGGTCCTCCAAAGGGCGAAGATTAAGCTAAACGTGGTTCAAATAGGAGGAAAATCTCATTCTAGAGAAATGGCGAAAAAAAAACAAACAAGAGGAAACCTTTTCGTTGTTCCAAACGTTCTGTTGAATGGAAATGCAGTGCTTCTTGGCCTGTAGAATGGCGGCGTCGAGCTCCTCTCTCGCCTCTTCCATCCACTAAAAACGAAAGTTCAAATGTGTTTTCCGTTCACGAGGACATGTTAAAATGAGGCTATAACTTCGAGAAAAAGGACCATTCAACGGAAACCCGCCAACGACTGAAAAGTGGAGACAGAACGGTCGGAAGACACTTTAATGAAGACTGAGTCAGAAATAAATACACCGGAAGACATTCTCAGTTCAGTCAAACATTGTAGCGATGTGGCGGGCGTGAAATCGACCAGTGCGATGAATGCTCTTATCAGTTGTAAGTTCGCTTTATCACTGAATGCTCCATTAACCATGCATTTTCGACTTGTAGCAGACGGCTTACTATCAGGGCACATCATTAGTTGGGGATTTTGGTGGAGTCGATACAACCCCCCTCTGTAATGGGCGGCTCGATAGGATCCCCTCCTCAATACACCGTTTTATCCACATTTCTAGGATTTTTTAGCGGGAGCAGGGGATGAAGGGGGTACAGCGTATGTGAAACAAGAGCAACCGCGATGAAAGTACGAGCCTCCCTCTTTCTTATCCTACCAATCACTTTCTCAGATTTTCCAACCTCTACCACTTTTTCCAAACTTCCGGAATTTCCAGAAAATTTTCCAACTTTTCCTTGAATTTTATTGTCGAGCGGGGGGACAAGTGAAACGGGGAAAATAGAAATAAGTCAACTTCTAAAGAAAAGTTTTTCCATACGCCGCAAATTCCTCTCACTAGGTCAGAAAGCAAATATGATTCTCCAGACCTCTCTCAGCAATGAGCGCAATTTCAGGCTTAGGACCAGCTCACCATAAAATAAAGGCGTCTAGGGAGGTCTCATAGGTCACAAACACGACTCGACTAACTTTAGGAAAGACCTTAGGGAAGAATGGCGGGCTTAAGTACAGACCCCCCTGCCCTTATTGAGAGTTTATTTTTTTGTGGCCCTCTCCGTGATACAAAAAAATCGACTATCAAAATAACTTTTCTCAAATCAAATGCCACCCTCCCCCCTCTCCCAGCAACCAGATGCGACCCCCCACTGTTGGAGAATCCCCAACAATGATGTGGCCGTATTGTCATGGTCAAGGGGAAAAAGATTAAATAGGCCCCCTTCCTCCCAGCAAACAAATACTACTCTCCCTGTTCGGAGATCCCCAACGATGATGTGTACTGCTTACAATTGTCAAGGGCTTCAAAGTGTTGTGTCGAGGACATAACGGACTAACCATGAGCTGTGTATTGCTCCCGTGTTGCTCATCACATTGCATAGTTTCTAGTGAATCTCGTACAGATCAAATTCTTATACGAAATAGACACCGAGCAACCTCACCATACCAGTAAATCAGTGAGGATAGTCAGAGCCACTGCTTTGGAGCAATGGCACTAGTGTGGCATTTTCGTTAGCTCTTCCTTAGAATATGATGATGACGAGGTGAAGTTCTTCTGAAAATCTCTTGTCGAGGAGCTGATAACAATGGGAAAGAACAAAGAAGGTGGAAGGGAGGTGGTGTTATTGAGGGCATAAGACACCACCATTTATTAGTTGGGAAGAAATAGCAGCAGGGTGATTTATAGTGAGCAACATGAAGAAAAAAGCAAAGTTGAACGGCTAGAAACCTGCGGAAAAACCTCTGTTCTGCACGGCTTTGGGCGAGCATTTTCAGACAGTTTCCAGGTGGCATCGTGCCAACAACCGCTTCGGTAGATAGGGTGCAGTATGGGTTCATAGATCCATGTAGTAACGCTTCATATAAATTGTACTCCATAAATGAAGCGATAAGAGCACCAATGTCGATGGGATCGTGGGCGTTCGGATCGGCATGTTGCAGCAGACCAGAATGCTATAAGCTGGAAGGGTACCGTGGCTGAAAAAGCGCCTCGCAGCGTCTGCTCAGAAGCACCGAATTCTGTCCTGCTAGGCGTGTCTGTCCTACACGCCTTGTGTATTTATCTCGCCTCTTGACTTTGGATTACTCTGCACCCTAAAACAACGGTGTAACGCTGACTAGAAGGAGCGACAGGGGAGCACGACGGGAGCGTCATCGTTGGATGAAAGGAAGTGATATCAGCTGATAAGAGCTGATAAGAAGCGTCAAAAGGGGAAGTCACGAAATCCATAGCATATGTCATGGCGATGGTGAGGAGTTGATTTTAATTAGTGATGTAGGAATTGGAATGGTGATAACATCAGCGATTGATCATTTATAGAAGGGAGTAAGGAGAGGTAGGTAGTATCTACAA